TCAAATCTAGATATATGTGTGTATATGTGTGTGTGTGTCTGTGAATTTAATAAAGAGTATGATTTAAATAGCATTTCATATTATTTCATCTATAAATGATGTTAACAGTTGGCTCTCCATTGGGAGGAAAAATTTTAAATTGACATCCTACTTCATATATACAAAAAATTTCAAGTGGATTAGAGAACTAAACATTAAAAAGCCATAAAAACATGACAGAATACCTTGGTTAAACATGGAAAATTAACAACACAGTTAAATAATTTTTTTAAAAAGTAGAGCCCAAAGGGCAAACAAAAGAGACAGTAGCAGACAAGAGATTTTAATAAATGTTGGTTGCATAACAAGCAAATAGAAGAGCAGTGGTAAATTTAGCAGAACAGAGGAAGTCACAATCTATATGACCCCAGAGGTGATCAGATAAGAAAAGAGAACAAATTATCTCCACAAAAAAAAAATAAAAAAATCAAAGGATCAGGGGTGAGAATTTGAGGGCAAGGTAAAAGTCTATACAGTGAGGGGCTATATGCCTAACTCCACTTCCCAAACCCACATAACCAAAGGACTACCATCCCTACACACATACACACACACATACCCATACACGCCCTTGTAACACTGCCACCTACCACCTCAGAAGAATGAGATGCTAGGTACCAGAGATGCAATGGTGAGAAAAACATACTCCCTGGACTCATGAAAATTTTTCATCTACATGTGGAGACAGTTATTAATAAAAACTCATACAAATAAATATAAAGCTACAAGTATGACAGATGCTACAATGGAGGGGTGCATGGTGCTATAAGTGTAATAGGAAGATAAAATGAATACTCTGGTTGTCTTCCTAGCATCTACTTTACCCATATCACATAGTGTAACATACATGGGATTTGGGTAGGACTAACCCCACCCGCAACTACAAGCATGGGCCCTGATTTGCCTCAGCCAGTCCAGTACATGACACTCCCTAGACCACAAAACTCTAGGTTCAGGAGTGGGCATGTGACCTAAGTTAGTATAATCACAATGCAACTGGAGATATGTGAAGAAACTCTTTTGATGTGAAGAACTATGTAGCCTTGGGAGCTCTTGGCTACCATCTTAAGATACAAAAGGAATCAGCCCTAGGATGGATTTGGCAGAGCAGAAAGTAGAACTGAGAGGCAGAAGAAAATCAAGTTCTCACTGATACTCTTGAGTCACTCAGTTAAATCAATCCTGAGGTTCATCTTATCTTCAGACTTTCTATTCACATGAGCCAATAAATTGTCTTATCATTTAAATCGATGTGAATTGGGTTTTTTGGTTCCACAGGGATTTGACCTAGTCAAGGAAGTCTCTTCTACATAAGTGATAATTGTGGTGACATATGAAGGATAAAGATAAAGCAGGAGTCATCATGAGATGACTGGAAAGAAGGAAGTTCAGACAAATAAGTGTCAATTTTAACTTAGATCAAGTAAAATGGGTTGAAAAATGTCCATTGGCATTATCAACAAAGATGTCTTTAGTGAGTTTATCAAGAGATTTTTGGTGAGGGCTGGGTGATGGAAACCACAATAGATAGGTTCAATTAAGGAGTCCAGTGGTGAGGTGAGGAAATGTAGAGAGTATAAACAACTTTAACCCTTGAACAGTTTGGCTGAAAAGGGGAAGAGAAATAGGAATGTAGCTGAAGAGGATGTAGGTTATCAGTTTTGATGACTTATTTAAATGGAGAAGGTCTTAAAGATTAATCACCTCAAGGAAAAAAATGAATGAATATAGCAAAGAAGCTTTCATAAAAGTTTTTCACAAAAACATCGCACAGAATTAGGAAGGGTAAAAACAGAAAGCCTCACATTTCAAGGACACGAGTCAATAAGACTGAGAACCCAGTTTACTCTGTAGAGATTACTATATTTTTTAATCCTCAAGAATTAAAAAGTGTAATGTGCCCTCAAGCGACATTTGGCAATGATGGGAGATAATTTTGATTATCACAACAGGAGGATGGGGTGCAATACTACTGGCATCTGGTGGGTAGAAGCCAGGAATGCAGCTAATCATCCTGTAACGCACAGGACAGCCTCTCACAACAAAGAATTATCCAGCCCAAAATGTCAGTGGTGCCAAAACTGTAAAACCCTGCTCTAGGAATTTAACCTATGCATATATTGGCACACATGAAACAACTTCTGTACAATCATTTATTGTTTGAAATTATGCACTATTGGAAATGACATATATACAGAAAAAATGGTTTAAATAAACTAGGGTATATTAGTACAAATAGTATGTATGGTATTCCATTATTTATGTTTAAAAAAAAAAGGTGGTAGGTATAAATTTACATATACAGATATAGAAATCTATCTCAACCCTTGGAGTGGAACTTGCCTGAAGAAAACCTTTGCTGGGGAATACACATTGTTGCAGTGCATTACTGCCCTCAGTGTGTCTTGGAGAATCCTGCTCTGGCCCTCTGTCTATGTTTCTCTCCATGGGATGAGAAGTCCATGAAACCAAGGGATGTGTCCACTTGGAACCCACTCTTCCCTTTCTAGACCATGCTCTGGGCACACTGGAATTCCCTGCCCCAAAGGCCAAGCCTGCTCCCAGGGTCTGCACAGTCCTCTTCCCAAATTCTGTCCTTAATTGGCCACTGAGGAGTGGCCAAAGGGTGACTACATTCAGGGAGAGTAGACATAGACAGCGCTTGGACAAAAGGCTGGGGTACCCTCTGTGTGCACATGAGGGCTGTCTAACTGCAGGCAGAGCTGAGGTGTGAGAAGAGAAGGCAGGCTAAGGACTTCAGGAGCCAAAGGGAGACTCTGGAACTCTGAGGAGTTCAAGAATTCTAGATTTGAATTTGGAATCTGGTTTCCAGGCCATATGAAAATATATTGCTTAGGGTATACCAAAGGTAGGAAAAGAAAATATATTTTATTTAATAGCTTGATTTAAAATTTTTAAATCTTTAGACATATGGTATATGGTCTTCCTTTTGTGTGCTTGTCCTGGACCTTACAAATGTTAGAGGTCGGCCTGTTGCAGAAGAGAGAATCCCTGTGACCTAGGGCAAGAAAAAAACAAGAACCTGTGCCTGAGGATCCAGCAAGGGGCAGAGATGAGTGCTGAGGGTTTAACTCTGTTCCCTTATTTCAGATATTGGGGAGTACAGCAAAAGGGATACTAAGGGGAAGGTGGAAGGGATGCTTTGAAACACTGTTCATATCATTCCACTCCTTAGTTCAAAACTCTCCAATGGATTTGCAACTCATTCAAAGCAAAACCCAAGGCCCTTCAAGACAGCCTCTCCCCCACTCCCAACCTTACTTCCCACCATTTCCCTCCTTTCTCACTCCACTCCAATCATACTGGTTTCCTTGCTATCCCTCTCACTCACTCAGCATGCTTATAGCCTCAAGGCCTTTGTACTTGTAGTTACTGCTTTCTGGCTCTCCCTTCCCCTAGGGAAATGCATGGCAGACTGCCTCCCCTCAATAGACACCATTACCCTTCCCATACTCACTCTCTAACCTTCTGCTACTTTTTTTTGGTCACAACATTTATCAGTACCTGGCATAGGTTTGTTTACTGTCTTCCTGCACTAGAATGTAAGCTCCATGAAAGAGGGACTTTTTCTATTTATTCACTGTATAGAACAATGTCTAGCACATAATATATGCTCAACAAATATTTGCTGAATGATTGAATAAATACAGGAAATGACTCCTGTTGTTTCAATTTAGTCCAGAGTTAGATCTTATTTGTAGAACAGTAAACTTTTAACATGTATGGTGTCAAAGTGACTTCTGTACAGTTCTCATTCCTTTAACTTAATACATAACTTATTTATACGTTTTTTTAGGCCAGTAACACATTATGACTTTGTTCACCTGGTCCCCACAGCCTTGAACACCTTTCAAGCCAAACTCCCACTCAGGGATCCTCTAACATCAGGCCCAAAAGTTATCTGAGTGTGCCTCAAAAGTTATCTGTGTGAAGCTTTCTCTGACCCGAGACAGAAATGTTATTTTCTCTGGGCTCAAAATGCATTTCGTCCACATCAATCACAGCAATTAACGGGCTCTATTGCCACGTATATTATAACTATTTAATCCAAGTATACTTAGATTTTTTAAAATCCTATGTATGCAGATGTTGAACCGAGAATTTAATTTTTATCAGGCGCCTGCTCTGTGTAAGACGTCTCACGTTTTAGTGTACCGCGGAAGGGTGTACCCACAAGATCTGGTCAAAACATAAGCACGTTCTGAAAACACCATTGATAAGGAATGACTACAACTCCCAAGATGCGCTGCAGGGTAAAACGTGTGCATCTCGCCTGACTTTCACCTTTCAGACTAATGGGTTGTAAAAAGCTGGCGGCACAACAAGCTTAAACTGTCTTTAAAAACGAACAAAAGAATTCTACCGAAAACGAACAGGGGCCCAGTGCATGGTTTGTATCCACCACTCAACGTTTTACACTTAATGTGATGTTTGACAACGTGAACGCCAAGAGAATTCCTCCCTCGCTTATTCAGTGCATAAGACCTCCCGAGAGAGAACGCGAGAAATGTCAGCAAGAGAAACTCAAAAATATCGAAACAGTGCTCTTCGATATGTTAGGAAAGTAGCTCCCTGCCACTTCCCTAAACTTAGCTGAAGACTTATTTTCCGACGTTACAAACACGGGAAGGGCACTGTATTTTCATGAAGCGGAAAGTATGCTTTTCAATGGCCAGCCACCAAAAGCCTAACGATACACTTGTGTACAATATTACAATCTCCTGGAGATGCACAGGACACTTCCTGAGGAGATGCTTAACTGTAACAGACTCCATAGCGAGTTTCAGGGGGTTTCGGGTCGCATTAAAGGGCTAACCTCTTCACAGAAAGAGGTTTAAACCGTTTTTCTCTCACAGGCTGAAAGGGTGAGCTTCCATTAAGGAGTGCGAGCACATTTCCTTCCCTTTTGCTCAGGGTGAGTCCCGTCCAAGGATGCGTACCTCCCAGGTTTGCTTTGTGTTTTCCACAGAGCTGGATCCCACGGCTCGTCACACGCCGGGTGAAGCCAGCAATCCGCACGAAGCCGAATCCACGACTCCGCGCCCGCCGCCTGCCCAGAGAGGACTCTCGCGGCACCAGTGGAGACAAGGAGCTCGCAAAGACCGCCCACCCAACCGCGATCCCACGGGAGTAGGCGGGGCCGAGATAGGAGGAAGTCGCACTTAGACCCACCCACCTCAGTCCAGTACCCCGCCTCGCGAGAACACCGTGCGTGCAGAAACGGAGGTGCCTCTTGTTGGGCTCGTCGGCCGCCGTAGCCCCTGCTAGGACAGCCCGTGCGAGCTTGCTGGAGGAGGAAGAGAAAGGCAGAGAGAATCGGGTTACAAGATGGCGGATCTGTAGTAGTTACCGCGGCGGCGGCGGCGGCGGCGGCGGCGAGAGAGCGAGCGAGCTCTGGGGGTCAAAGGGTGGGGAGGGTGGGTGTGTGCGGGGGTGAAGTGAGAGGTAACTGGGACTCCGGGCGGAAAGGTCTCAGTGGTTCTTGTTGCCCCTTCCCGCGGCTGAACCTTGGGAGCCATGGTGAACTCGGGCCTCTCCGGAGCCGCCGCCGCCGCTGCAGCCACCGCCGCTACCGTCTCTCTAGAGTGAGGGGCGCGGACGAGGTGAGCAAGGAGGCGGCGGCTGGAGCTGTGGGGATAGCAGCCACCATGTCGGATACGCGGCGGCGAGTGAAGGTTTATACCCTGAACGAAGACCGGCAATGGGACGACCGAGGCACCGGGCACGTCTCCTCCACCTATGTGGAGGAGCTCAAGGGAATGTCGCTGCTGGTTCGGGCAGAGTCCGACGGTAAGGTTATTGGAACCGTAGGATAGGAGACCATGCCTCCGTTTTGGGCACAGCCTTGGGGTTTAGGCCCTGGGCTGAGTACTGTTACTGCCACCGCTTGGGACAGCGCATTGGTTTTCTGTCTGCACTTCAGTACGGTGAAGACAAACTACTTTGTCGGGATTTATCCTCAGTCGGACGCCGATTCTCTGTTCCCCCGCCTCCTCTCCTTATTAAACCTTTGACCCCTTCCTCTCCAGTCTCGCCTCTTAAAGAGGTGGGGGGAAGAGTGTGAGAGAGAAGAGAGGAAGTCATGAGAAACAAGGTAGTAGTGATCTTGTTCTAGGGAACTGACCCTTCCCGTCCCCCTTTATTTTCTTATTCCATTATATGCCTGGTACAAAAGGTTTAGTGAAACTTAACTTTCTTTTTTTTTTTTTTTTAACTGATTTTGCTAACTAGCCCCAGTTGCCACAGTCGACAGGTGCTGGGGAAAACCAAAATGCACCTATTTCCTGGGGTTATTGCAGACTGTTGCCACGATACACGCACGCACAAGCACATACACCTTCAGTCTGGGATCCCTCCAGGCTATCTTTGTAGAAGGTGCTGTGAACAAGTGGATACTTTACAAGCAAAACAAGTTAGGACACCAGAGCAGACTGTAAACTTGTATTCGTTGATTTATTGTACGAGTCTTACGTGAAATATTTTAAAATTATAAAATGTACAGCCTTAAGTAAAACACCTTCCTCACTGTATCTGATCGCTGGATTTGAGCAACTGATATGTGCAGATTAAAGAAAAATAGCAGTCTTCGGTTTATTTTTGACATATCTTTTACTCTTGCACTTTTTCTTTTAAGTAGTCATGGACATTTATTTTTACATGAGGTGTCCTGCTTTTTGTTCTTAAGGAGAAAAGGATAAATGCAATTCTGTATTTGTGTACTAAGTACTTAAATCCCTGTTGTTGTCCTTTGTAATTTGTTTTATTTGTTAAACTGGAAATGCAATAAAATAACCTTGTTAAAAGAAATTTGGCTTCAGGTGGTCATTTAGACCTTAAATTTTTCATTTCAATAAAACTATAATAAGTAATCTAGTCTCCGCATATTCTTGGTCTGAATGTTGTTCTTAGGTGAAATTTTTCCTTTAAGGGTATATGGGGATAGGATGATATGTTCTACATTAAATATGAAGCCCAGTTCTTGAGAGAAGAATGTAAATTGGAATACATTTGATTACTTCAGATGTCCTGCTGGGGGAAGAAAAAAGTTGTTTTTTTAATGTGTATTCTGATGTTTTATTCAGTGTTTTATAAATTGAAACTTATAAATATTATTTTTTTAACTTGCAGGATCACTACTCTTGGAATCAAAGATAAATCCAAACACTGCATATCAGAAACAACAGGCAAGTAGTTGTTTATCTTTAATTTGAAAGATTTCATCTGTGATCAAGGAAGTATTAATCTGACAAAGATGGTAAAGCTTTTCTGACAGAAAAAAAAAAAACATGGATGGTAAACAGAATTACAGGCTATATGTATTTCCCTTGCAGGTTAAAAGTTTCAAACTGAAAAGTGAAAGCTTTTGTTCTGGAAGTAATTTATTATCTTTGAATTGAGCCACTGTTAGTTTATATTGGAATACGACGTATTCATTAATCTTATTTAACTGCAGTTAGCCAGGTATCTTCTATACCCTGTACACTAAGCCTTTTATTCTCAGTCACATATAAAGGAAATGGCATAAAAGAAAATTCAAAGGGGTACTCTTTAAAGCAAGGAAAGCCTGTTTGCGCTGTGAAAGTGGATCCTTTGACTCATGCAAAGATAAAGCTTTTGAAGTAGAAGCACTTAATCCTGTTCTTTAATTGTTGTATATTTTTAATATAATAACCAATGGATATTTCATGAAAGTGTACACTGACTATTATGCAATGTTTTCTGTTGATACTTATTGTCTTATTTGGGAAAAGAAAACCTGTGTTGTGTTTTAGTGTGCTTATTATCTAGTCTGGAAATGGCTGCAGTGATTCAACTTTTCCTTTATCCTGTGAATGTTTTCATTTTTATTACGAAAGATTCCAAAATTGAGAAGTACAGTGAATAATATAATGAGTATCTGTGTAACACCACCAAATTTAACAATGTTAACATTATACCATATTTGTTTCAAATCTTTTTGTAGTGTTGAACATTGTGGATAGAATTAAAACTCCCTTTGTACCCATCTCATTCTATCCATTCTCCACCCTCCCTATAGGTAACCACTATTCTGAAGTTAATGTGTATTATTTCTGTACATGCTTTTATACCTTTTCTGCATATGTATGTATCCATAAATAATATGTAGTCTTTTGTGCGTTTTTAAACTTTACACAATTGATCTCCTATTCTTACATGTACTCTGCAACTTACATTTTTCACTCAAAGTTACTTTGAATATTTGTTCATGTTAATGTAGATTTAGTTGGGCATTTTTTAAAGCACTGTATGATGTATGATGTACACCTATTGTTAGACATTTGGATTATTTCTAGGGTTTTTTGTGTGTGTGTGTTCTGTGTGTAAAGTGAACATGGCAGAGATTTTTGGAGGAAAAGATAAATTATTTTCCAGTTTTTTGTGTGTGGAGTGTGTAAAGTGAATATGGCAGAAGTTTTTGAAGGAAAAGATAATTTGAAGGAAAAGATAAATTAATTATACTTGCATCATCAGTGCCTACTTTCTTCAAGGTCAATGAAAATTTAGATGCTCAGAAACGAATACTTCACACTTGGAGGAATGAAATTACATCTATTGCACAGTGCATTATTAGTAAAAGTCTTACTTTTAAACAGTTTTGTGTATACAGTGCATTCTTAGTACTTTGAAATATTTTTAAAATTTTCCATATCCAGTTAATAGTTTTTTCCTTTGCTAAGAAAATATTATGTCTTTTTTGATGGAGAATCAAACATTTGTTCTGTATTGAACATCTGAAGTTGTTTCCTATACCTTAGATGTTTTAAGGTAAATTTAAGTAAATTTAATTTCTAAGTCAGCCAGGCAGATGGTTACTCTCTGTCTTTGTACTGACTTTTACCACATAGCCACTTTTGGTTTGTTTTTTTGTTTGCTTGCTTTGAGGGGAAAGGAATACCAATATTTTGTAACCATTTTTTTCTACCTGCATGAACATTAATTCTCAGGAACTGTCTTCTTAAGTGTGACTCCTTAAAAATTAGTTATGTTATGGATTCTTCTCAAATTGTATACAAGATCCTTTAGCTGTTCTTTTAACTAGAAAGATCACATTATAGCGGAGGTTTGTGTATAAACCCCCATCGTTAGTCCAGAATTACACAGTGGTTCTGTGAATATTTTTAGGAACTTTGGGACATAACTTTGTGTGTCATGTTACTCTGCTAGAAAATTTAAGTATTGTGGGAGAAAAATATTTAAAAAATTTTTTATGCCATTGGGGAAATGTTTTTTGTAATTAATTCCTTTTAAATAATATACTATTAGGGCTTTTTAAAAATATCTTTTTCCTTAATTGAGGTACTTTTACTGAATAACATTAAAGCTGAAGAGAACTCTTTGGCAATGAGAATACTCTGGAAAAGCTTTGTGTATAAGAATGAAAAACGTGTGTAAATGGAGTCAGTTGTTTTATTTTCTTTATTGTTTAAATAGACTGCACTTTTCTAATAGAAATCAAAGAGCTATATAGGAGTTATGTTAGACTTATTTTCTTTGTAATAGATGTGCTTGTTTCACCAAAATCTTTTTCAGTTTGCCTTTTTACCAGGTTACACAAATTGGGATTTCCAAACACCTGATATTTTTCTATGGTCATTAGAATTACCTTTTTTTAAGTGTCATCATTTAAGTATTCAATAAATTAGTCTAGAAAATTACTTATTTCTAAAATTTATATGAAATATATTGATCATTAGTGGGTTTTTAATTTTTAAAAAAAGCCCTGAGTGAGTTAATGAGACATTCATAGTTTATAGGAAATTTTGCTACATTAGAATACATTGAGTATAATAAGAACCTACTCTATAGCACAGGGAAATCTACTCGGTCCTCTGTGGCGACGTAAATGGGAAGGAAATCCAAAAAAGAGGAGATGTATGTATACGTATAGCTGATTCACTTTGCTGTGCAGTAGAAACTAACACAACATTGTAAAGCAACTATGCCAATAAAAATTAATTTTTAAAAATTCATTGAATAAATACAGAGGAATATTTAACATTCTTCTTTTAACATTACAGTTGTAAAATGAGCTAAGTACTGAATTGTGGGTTCAAAATAAGTTAGAATTAGTTGAGTTTAATGTCAAATGACTCAATATCAATAGGAAA